TTTTTCCAGTATGTGATAGGTTGTTTTTTGTTGCTTTACGACCTGGAGGCTATGGTTAAGACCTTGATTTCTTGTCCATCGTTCAGAGTATAGCAGTTGTGATGTAGAATCCAATCCTCACTTTTCGGGTGCCTGGAGCCTTGCTTATGGGATAGGTTGCGTAAGAGCTAAGCTGCCTCAACTTTTTTACGGCTTCCAAACCCTACGTTGTAGACCGCGCCCAACCTTAAGTCAGGCTCTTCTTCGTTGCGGATGATGTGGGCTGGGCTGGCCTGGGCAAACATCGAACCGCCAGCAATGCAGCAGAGGCTCAGGGGAAGGCCGAGACGATGACCCCCACCTTGGATGCTTCTGGGCGTTCGTGAAGTAGAGGCTACGGATCAAGATGACCCAATACTTCGGTACTTGGTTGTTGGCATAGTGACATAGTGGTGACGATGATGTAGGTTAGCATGTATGGGGGAGGTACATGATTGGTATAGGTACTTGGACCTTGAGTGTGGGAACCTAGTTCAAGTTGTAGTCTGACACTGTAAGCATGCTCATAGCCCTCTCGACGCAAGTTTGCAGAACTAAGCTGTCTATGCTTAAGTCTATGCCCTTCTTAAAAACTATCCATGCTTAAGGCTTAAGTCGATGCCCTTCTTAAATCGCGTACCCTAAGACTGAAGCCCCAAAACCGAAACCCCAGCGGAAATCCAGGCTCTGGTTGAGCAAGGCATCCTCTTGGAGCGACATTACGCTTCCTCCTCATCCGGGCCATCTAGGCCATGACGCCTAGACCCAAACCCTAAAGGGTTTAGGATTTAGGGGTTTAGGGGTTTAGGGTTTAGGGTCCTAAAACCCTAAACCCTAAAACCCCTAAACCCCTAAACCTTAAACCCGGCTTAGGGTCAAGGCCAGATGGTATACTTCGTTCGCCAAGACTCCTTTTGGGGGGTTTAGGGTTTAGGGCTTAGGGGTTCCTGAGGGGTTATATGATCCTGTATGATGATTCGGAACGGGTTTGATCGGTTTTACAGACAAAGTACCTCATAGTTCGATATTCATGGGGCTTCATGGGGTTTGGGCTGGCAGTAGTGTAGCTAAGCATGTTGGAGAGTACAATCATGGATTGTTACTTTCACCCTGAGGGCATTTGTCGCAAGACGAGCTGGGGCTCTTTCCTTTCAAGGATCCCATTACATGGAAATGTATTCCCCGCTTCCAAGGAAAAACCGCTCAGGTAGGGTTTAGGGTTTGGGGTAAGGGTTTGCCCATAGTCATAGGCCCCTAAGTAGTTCCTTTTTGGGATTACCTCATAGGATTCTAAATATAAACCATAAAGAGGAACTGCTTAGGGGCCTATGGGTTTATTCCCGACTTTAAAAGGAAAACCTGTCAGGTGCTCGCTCATCAGCGGCCGTCTGCCTCGCCATTTTCCCCCTCTACCTGAAGGCCTCTCCACTACCCAGATGTTCTGGAACCCAGCGGACAACGTCTCCGGCTTCTATGGCATTCCTCGCAATATGACCGGCATCGGAAGGAAGCTGAAGGACGGCATCGTCCGGAAATTCGTTGCTTCACAGCTGCATGCAACAAATCGGAGGGCCTGAATACTTGCTAGTATCGTTCCTTGGGTCCTTCGGTCGTTCTGACAGAAGTTGTCATATCCTTCAAGCCTCCACAATCCTTTTTACGCCTCAGCCGCTTACTTTTAGTATGTGTGCGCAGAGGGTGTAGGGTGTAAAGTTTGATTCTCGAGGCGCATGTATCAGTGAGGTACTTGGACCCTGAGGGCAT